AGTGCCCAGTTAATTACTTTCCTTTACTAAGGATAATTGCTTACTAATAAGATTATTTACGTAACCTTTACTGCTTACTGGACCTCGTTTATTTAGTTAAAATTAACCACTCCAGTGGAAATAATTAAAAGGTAAAATAATTCCACTTTATATTCCTCTCATTTATTTACGCAGCTTTAATGAACCGACTTACGCTGTGAGAGGTTATATTATAACATGATACATTTAATTGTGACATAAATATTAGTCACAACCTCTTCCTTCCCTAATTAACTTCGAAATATATAAATTCATTTACGCTCGAGGTACCTACCGAGAGCCGCGCATGCGCAGTCGGGGGAAGGAGGAAGGAGAAACCAAGATAGGAAGCGTGGCATCCATCTTGCCGGAGTTACTGTGCCTCAGAGCTCCCACTTAACGACTCATAACTACGTCACCCTTGCAACAGCGGGTGCCAGAGTTCCTGGAGATCTCCATCAGCATTCAACACAAGTCCCGGCGAACGTAATTTCTTTATTGTCCTACTGATGTTTCTTAAAGAGTACACTTTATTACAAATTTTCGTGTAGGTCGCTCACGCCACGCGACATTATTATATTCAATGTTAGTTTCAATTAAGTCCAGCTCCCACTTTACAATCAGAAATAATGGCATATTAACTCTAGCCAAGACAATTTTTACATTTAATCTTGCATTCAGTTTGAGTGGTAGTGACGAAAAGGGGAAGAATAACTTTTCATTCCATGTGCATGCTCGGACAGTGTTGCATCATGTGCATGCTCGGACAGTGTTGCAACATGTGCATGCTCGGACAGTGTGTTGCAACATGTGCATGCTCGGACAGTGTTGCAACATGTGCATGCTCGGACAGTGTGTTGCATCATGTGCATGCTCGGACAGTGTGTTGCATCATGTGCATGCTCGGACTGTGTTGCAACATGTGCATGCTCGGACAGTGTTGCAACATGTGCATGCTCGGACTGTGTGTTGCAACATGTGCATGCTCGGACAGTGTGTTGCATCATGTGCATGCTCGGACAGTGTTGCAACATGTGCATGCTCGGACAGTGTTGCATCATGTGCATGCTCGGACAGTGTTGCAACATGTGCATGCTCGGACAGTGTTGCATCATGTGCATGCTCGGACAGTGTTGCAACATGTGCATGCTCGGACAGTGTTGCAACATGTGCATGCTCGGACAGTGTTGCAACATGTGCATGCTCGGACAGTGTGTTGCAACATGTGCAACACATGCTCGGACAGTGTGTGTTGCAACATGCAACATGTGCATGCTCGGACAGTGTGTTGCAACATGTGCATGCTCGGACAGTGTTGCATCATGTGCATGCTCGGACAGTGTTGCAACATGTGCATGCTCGGACAGTGTGTTGCAACATGTGCATGCTCGGACAGTGTTGCAACATGTGCATGCTCGGACAGTGTTGCAACATGTGCATGCTCGGACAGTGTTGCAACATGTGCATGCTCGGACAGTGTTGCATCATGTGCATGCTCGGACAGTGTGTTGCATCATGTGCATGCTCGGACAGTGTTGCAACATGTGCATGCTCGGACAGTGTTGCATCATGTGCATGCTCGGACAGTGTGTTGCATCATGTGCATGCTCGGACAGTGTGTTGCAACATGTGCATGCTCGGACAGTGTGTTGCAACATGTGCATGCTCGGACAGTGTTGCAACATGTGCATGCTCGGACAGTGTTGCAACATGTGCATGCTCGGACAGTGTTGCAACATGTGCATGCTCGGACAGTGTTGCAACATGTTCATGCTCGGACAGTGTTGCAACATGTGCATGCTCGGACAGTGTTGCAACATGTGCATGCTCGGACAGTGTGTTGCAACATGTGCATGCTCGGACTGTGTGTTGCATCATGTGCATGCTCGGACAGTGTGTTGCATCATGTGCATGCTCGGACAGTGTGTTGCATCATGTGCATGCTCGGACAGTGTGTTGCATCATGTGCATGCTCGGACAGTGTGTTGCATCATGTGCATGCTCGGACAGTGTGTTGCAACATGTGCATGCTCGGACAGTGTGTTGCAACATGTGCATGCTCGGACAGTGTTGCAACATGTGCATGCTTGGACAGTGTTGCAACATGTGCATGCTCGGACTGTGTTGCAACATGTGCATGCTCGGACTGTGTTGCAACATGTGCATGCTCGGACAGTGTTGCAACATGTGCATGCTCGGACAGTGTGTTGCAACATGTGCATGCTCGGACAGTGTGTTGCAACATGTGCATGCTCGGACAGTGTGTTGCATCATGTGCATGCTCGGACAGTGTGTTGCAACATGTGCATGCTCGGACAGTGTTGCAACATGTGCATGCCCGGACTGTGTTGCAACATGTGCATGCTCGGACTGTGTTGCAACATGTGTATGCTCGGACTGTGTGTTGCATCATGTGCATGCTCGGACTGTGTTGCAACATGTGCATGCTCAGACTGTGTTGCAACATGTGCATGGTCGGACAGTGTGTTGCAACATGTGCAAGCTCGGACAGTGTGTTGCATCATGTGCATGCTCGGACAGTGTTGCAACATGTGCATGCTCGGACAGTGTGTTGCAACATGTGCATGCTCGGACAGTGTGTTGCAACATGTGCATGCTCGGACAGTGTGTTGCAACATGTGCATGCTCGGACAGTGTTGCAACATGTGCATGCTCGGACAGTGTTGCATCATGTGCATGCTCGGACAGTGTGTTGCATCATGTGCATGCTCGGACAGTGTGTTGCAACATGTGCATGCTCGGACAGTGTGTTGCAACATGTGCATGCTCGGACTGTGTTGCAACATGTGCATGCTCGGACAGTGTTGCAACATGTGCATGCTCGGACAGTGTTGCAACATGTGCATGCTCGGACTGTGTTGCAACATGTGCATGCTTGGACAGTGTTGCAACATGTGCATGCAACATGCTTGGACAGTGTTGCAACATGTGCATGTTCGGACAGTGTGTTGCATCATGTGCATGCTCGGACAGTGTTGCAACATGTTCATGCTCGGACAGTGTTGCATCATGTGCATGCTTGGACAGTGTTGCATCATGTGCATGCTCAGACAGTGTTGCGGACACACATGTGCATGCTTGGACAGTGTTGCATCATGTGCATGCTCAGACAGTGTTGCAACATGTGCATGCTCAGACAGTGTTGCATCATGTGCATGCTCGGACAGTGTTGCAACATGTGCATGCTCATACAGTGTTGCATCATGTGCATGCTTGGACAGTGTTGCAACATGTGCATGCTCGGACAGTGTGTTGAATCATGTGCATGCTCAGACAGTGTTGCATCATGTGCATGCTCAGACAGTGTTGCAACATGTGCATGCTCGGACAGTGTGTTGCAACATGTGCATGCTCGGACAGTGTTGCAACATGTGCATGCTCGGACAGTGTTGCATCATGTGCATGCTCGGACAGTGTTGCAACATGTGCATGCTTGGGCAGTGTTGCATCATGTGCATGCTCAGACAGTGTTGTAACATGTGCATGCTTGGACAGTGTTGCAACATGTGCATGCTCGGACAGTGTTGCAACATGTGCATGCTCAGACAGTGTTGCAACATGTGCATGCTCGGACAGTGTTGCAACATGTGCATGCTCGGACAGTGTTGCAACATGTGCATGCTTGGACAGTGTTGCAACATGTGCATGCTTTGACAGTGTTGCATCATGTGCATGCTCAGACAGTGTTGCAACATGTGCATGCTTGGACAGTGTTGCAACATGTGCATGCTCGGACAGTGTTGCAACATGTTCATGCTCGGACAGTGTGTTGCATCATGTGCATGCTCGGACAGTGTTGCATCATGTGCATGCTCGGACAGTGTTGCAACATGTGAGCCGTCGTGACCGCCCAACACTTTTACAACCACGTCAACAGAACAGCTAAGCTGACCTTGTATTTCTAGTAGTGTAGTATGTTTAGTAGGATAATAACATTTACATAAATGATTTCTATTGAAATTGCTATTTACTTAGCATTTATATTTGATATACATTAATGATTCCATTCTGTATCTTGAATATATGTGTATGTACTATAATACGAATTTATATATACATTTCTTTCTATTGGGTTAGGTTGAGTAAGGTTTCGGAGGTTTAAAATCAACTGGCAAACAGGCTTGTGTACAATGGGACTTGGACGAATTTTGCCTGACGATGTGTCAAATATTTAAATAGATGGGGTACCCGGTGGGACCCGGGTCTCTCTCTCTCTCTCTCTCTCTCTCTCTCTCTCTCTCTCTCTCTCTCTCTCTCTCTCTCTCTCTCTCTCTCTCTCTCTCTCTCTCTCTCTCTCTCTCTCTAACACACACATTCTCCCTTGCCCTCTCCCCCCTCAGAACACCCAATCCCAGCAAACACATAACATAACCACTTTTGTTTCTACCATTGTTACCTTAACGCAACGTTGTAACAATGTAACAAGGTTAAAAACGTTGTGGTTACATCACGTTTAGGTTGGGACAACATCTTATAATCTGTTTAGAAAGTCTGGCAAACCAAACCAAACCATTTCACCGACTCCGACCTATTTATGACAGTAGTTTACCACCCATGTTTCACCCTGAAAAGTTGAGAGACACTAGCCCCAAGCGTCTGGCCTCCAACCTTCGACAGACACAGACATGCTCTTCTATGCAGATTAAAAAAGATAATGTAGTCAAATACGAAACAGCTTCGTTATTCAGCTATCATCTCTAAGACCTTTCTCTGGATGTTCTAAACTTTATACTTTTTAATAGATAAAGTTTCTATTTATATATTTGATCGAGTATGTAAATAGAAACTTTAACTGTTTAAATTTTAACTAAATTTAGCTAAATTTAACTAACTTTAACTAAATAGTATAAAGTTTAGATAAAAAGTGTTATATATTACCGGTAATTGTGTTGAAACTGACTAGTTATTGATAGGCAGGTGACTTGCCACATGCAGTAACTATAGGCTTCCTCACACTTCAGGCACTGACGAGGCTTCCCCACGGTTCAACAAGGCTTCACCGCGGTTCAACAAGGCTTCACCGCGGTTCAACAAGGCTTCACCACGGTTCAACAAGGCTTCACCGCGGTTCAACAAGGCTTCACCGCGGTTCAACAAGGCTTCACCGCGGTTCAACAAGGCTTCACCGCGGATCAACAAGGCTTCACCGCGGTGCAACAAGGCTTCACCGCGGTTCAACAAGGCTTCACCGCGGTTCAACAAGGCTTCACCGCGGTTCAACAAGGCTTCACCGCGGTTCAACAAGGCTTCACCGCGGTTCAACAAGGCTTCACCGCGGTTCAACAAGGCTTCACCGCGGTTCAACAAGGCTTCACCGCGGTTCAACAAGGCTTCACCACGGTTCAACAAGGCTTCACCGCGGTTCAACAAGGCTTCACCGCGGTTCAACAAGGCTTCACCACGGTTCAACAAGGCTTCACCGCGGTTCAACAAGGCTTCACCACGGTTCAACAAGGCTTCACCGCGGTTCAACAAGGCTTCACCACGGTTCAACAAGGCTTCACCACGGTTCAACAAGGCTTCACCGCGGTTCAACAAGGCTTCACCGCGGTTCAACAAGGCTTCACCGCGGTTCAACAAGGCTTCACCGCGGTTCAACAAGGCTTCACCGCGGTTCAACAAGGCTTCACCACGGTTCAACAAGGCTTCACCGCGGTTCAACAAGGCTTCACCACGGTTCAACAAGGCTTCACCGCGGTTCAACAAGGCTTCACCACGGTTCAGCAAGGCTTCACCGCGGTTCAACAAGGCTTCACCGCGGTTCAACAAGGCTTCACCGCGGTTCAACAAAGCTTCACCGCGGTTCAACAAGGCTTCACCACGGTTCAACAAGGCTTCACCACGGTTCAACAAGGCTTCACCGCGGTTCAACAAGGCTTCACCGCGGTTCAACAAGGCTTCACCGCGGTTCAACAAGGCTTCACCACGGTTCAACAAGGCTTCACCGCGGTTCAACAAAGCTTCACCGCGGTTCAACAAAGCTTCACCGCGGTTCAACAAGGCTTCACCGCGGTTCAACAAAGCTTCACCGCGGTTCAACAAAGCTTCACCGCGGTTCAACAAAGCTTCACCGCGGTTCAACAAGGCTTCACCACGGTTCAACAAGGCTTCACCGCGGTTCAAACAATAA